TAGAACTTTTTCCACGGTATAGGTGGATGGAAAGGAAGATGAAAAGAAGGAATTTTATCGAATTGCGTATTGATTGAGTGTATTCCACCGTTGCGAGTGGAAAAATATTTATTTTAGAAAAATGTGTAAAAAAATAACAATCATGCATTGAAATTTTAAATTCTTTTTTTATAAATGTTCACAGATTAAAAAAAGTATTTGTATATTTAGGCAAAGAATTGATATAGATAATCGATCAAAGTTGAGAAGTATTTTTGTAAATTTTTCAAGAAATATTTAAACTTTAATTTTGTAAATAATTTGGATATAACATCTCATTTTGTAAATAATTTGGAAACAATTTAAAACAATTCTGTTTTAAATCGTTACAAATTATCGATAAATTTTTTTTTGGAAATTAAATTTAAGTAATTATTTTAAGTAATTATTCAAAATTCGCGCGATGTAACGATTCGTCTACAAGAGTTCTAATACGAAATATAATAGTACGAAAAGTAGAAACTTTCTATCTTCTTTTTTTTTTTACCGCCATATTTGATTTGCAAAACTGCGAAACTGTATTAAATATGTACGGGCTCACCACGTAGCCATTATAATATATATATATATTATTGATAATAATATTTCTAATTTTAGTTGGCAATCTTTTTATTTCTTTCAATTTTTGAGCAGTATGTCTTCTCACAGAGTTTTTTTCATTTTATAATTTTCATCGTTTTTATCGTTATTTCGTTAAATTGTCATTGTTTAGGTTCCATATCTGATCCATATCTATCGGATAATCTATAGGATAGGATTGTCGAGGACATTTCGTAGTAAACGGCCATAACTTCTTTTTTTAATAAGTATTCTTTCCTTAATATCCGTTTCTTTGAAATACCATTTCGAATTCTCAAGGTCCAGTTTATCGAATTCGATTCAAATCACAAATATTTATATATTTTTTATATATTGATTATTATGTATTTTTTTTTTACATATTTAGTCGTATTTTTATGTTATATATACATTCTTGATGATATAATAAATTATAATGAAAAAGCGGAGTATAGTTTTCTAAAAATTAAATCTCCACATATAAGCTCCGAACGGGAAAAAAATAATTTTGTGCAATCAGCTCCTATCATTCGAATCACCGTGCGACGTTTCGTTCGAGAGAGTTGAAATTTGTGTAGGATAAGCACGGGAACGTAGAAATTACTAAATCAGAAACTTCTCTCTAACCATACCAGTTTCCCAATTTAACTTTTTTACTCGATATATTCCGTGCGTTTTATTCTGCACCATTTGTTTATTCGGTTATTAAACCACGGTTTAGGATAGCTAAGCAAATTTTTCACTTATCTTCGTCACACGACGAGAGAAGTACTCTTTCTTCGTACATATATTTCGCCAGAGAGATGAATATAAATGAATAAAAAAAATAGAAAAAAAAAAGGTTATGTATTGGAAATATATCAGATTTTATCTTCGTTATCATAGAACCAATCTTGGCTCAACTTGTCGCGTATCGATTTAAATTCCATGCAATTTTTCCACGAGTGTTCGAAACTCGTTTTGTATAGAAATATATTCGTATGAAAAAAGGAGAAAAAAAAAAAAAAAAAGAAGAAATTTTGATATACCGTGTCAAAGTCATTTAGAGGAACAACGGTTTCGTGGATATCACACGAGTGACAAGCATGAATATCAAACGTGTGCAAATTCGGAACAGGAAGCTGTCAACCGAGCGCGGAGAGGAGAAGCGTGAGAGAAGCTCGTCGCGATATATTTCACCATCGACGAAGCAACGTTTTCCTTTTTTCTCTGTCTCTTTTTCTCTCTCTCCTCTCCTTTTAACCCGTGGCGTAGGTTACGCGTTAACAAAACAAAAGGAAACAAAAACAACAACAACAACAACAACAATAACAACAGGGCGAGAGAACGCGTTTTCGACGTAACATTTCAATTAATACGCGACCTAGTGGAGCAAGAGAGGGAGGAGGAAGAAAAGGAGAGACGAGGATGGAATAATAACCGTGGGAAGTGATGCGAATGAAAAAGAAAGAAAGAAAGAAAGAAAATCGTCAAATCCGTAACCGTGTAATAATCGGGAATAAGAAGAATCGCATGCGAAATATTCTTGCATCGATTAACGTAAATCATCGGGGCAGGAAAAATTCGTTTCGGAATACGAATGCGGGCGGGATCGCGTGTATCGCGATAAAAATTATTATCGTCATTATACGCGTTATGCTCGTCCTAACGAATGCAACAAGCGTTGTTGTAAAATCGCGATATATTAACAATTTTCGACGTACTTCCCTCCTCCGATGAATTATTCAATAGTTCCTCGCTTATTCGTGACCATGCGCGCGTGATTCAGCCCCAGAAATCGTAGGATTGGTTTCGCGAACGAAACGAAACCTCTCGATTGTCCAACCTCTGGACAATATCATACCCGCTCTTGATTAACTTCGATATTCGTTTCGAATAACGAATCGAATCGGATTATATACGCGGTGAATTAAAATTACATTATCTATATATTCGTTAAGCGAAAATGCAAAGTAATCCGATTATTCTATCCTTATTATAAAATTGTGCTAATTATAATATATATATATACTGTTCATCGATGGAAATCAATCTTCTTTCTATGATTCTTAATTTCATTTCTTTTAATGACAATCGTATCTTCCAATGTTCTTCGATCTGTTTAAAAAAACAAAAAGTCGAATTTTGTTATCAACGTTCGGAATTTTATTTTTCGTGACAGATAACATTCGGAATTTTATTTTTTGTCTCGTTGAAATATGTTTCAAGAGCACGGCTTCTTTCGATCGTAAAATTATATATTATCTCCTTTTACTGTTCACTGATGGAAAGAAGTTTCGCGTGACGGCACAGGGGCAAGGAGGATCCTTCGCTAGGACCTTCTATCCCCACTCCAGACTTTTTGTTGACTATCCTGACACTATACATTACATACTAGAAGAGCTATAATTTGAATGTTCAAAATCGTAAAAATTATTTTCATTTTCATGAAGTTAGGATAATATAGTATGTTCGTATTCCTGAGTCTTTTAGAATTAAGAAAATTGCGATGAAAAATTGTTTAACATTGAGAGAAACGAAATAGCTTTAAGAAATATAATTTTAATATTTATTCTTTGCATATATTGTATCCTGACAAACATTTTATTTTTATTTTTTTTTTATTTTTGGATGATTGCTAAAATTGAAATTTAAAATATTTTGAAATTTAAAATATACATTGCTATGTTGCATCTTCGAAATTGAAAAGTTAAATGTTGCAAAAGTCAAAATAATTATTAATCGATGGTAAGGTAAAATCGCAAGAAAAGAAAATCTAGTTACACCTTACCAAGCATCATGGAAAGTTTCCGACAACTGTCTAAGAGGAGAAAGAGCGGTTGAACAATGAAGATAAATAAACGAAGAGAAACGTTTATCGCTTATACCTCGTATCTCCTCGTACGTATACAAACTTGGTTATAATTAAGAAGCTGGATAAAGAGGAGAATGCTTTTTATTCGAAACGAGAGAGACGAGAAAGAGAGAGAGAAAGAGAAGAAATATTTTATTACAGTACGGAGAGCAGCATCGGAGACACGGCGGTTAATTGTTTACGAAACAAGAAGGGCATTTGGAATTCGGTGACTCACGTTCTTTTATCGCTCGGTAACGAAATATCGCGAGATGGAAACCGAAGCTTCGAAGGATCGAGCTGGAATTCTAAATATAAACCGGTAACTAAAAATTACAATGACGCGTACCCCTTTGATTCGAGTTATCGCGCATATGACTATGCGATATAATTATTCGTAATGACGAATACGTTTGAAGGATTTGGCAACGCGTATCCATGTTACAAAACATGGGTTGGA